CCTCCTGTCTCGCTAAGACTGGCATGCCTCAACGTGCGCACTTTGTTACAGATTGGCCAACAGGCAGCACTTGCCCGAACACTCGAGACCCTATAAATCGATATTTGCTATTTATCAGAAGCCTTCCTGCAAGATTCGAGCTCCGTGCTTACCCTGCGATCCCCTGCATGCGACACTGGCGGCACATTCTCATTGCGCCTGTGTGTCGATGATGCAGCTTCAAATGCCGGTCAAGCTGGCGTCGGCATTGTTTTGAGTCCCCGGGCTGAAACTGTCCTGATCGCTTGGATCCCAGTCAACAGTAGGATGTGCGCCGTTGGAGTAGCTGGTTCGTTCCACGCGTCGAAGTCGCGCGGGAACAATCGGTGCCTGTTTGTCATTGCGGTCTACCTCCTTACAAACGGTAGCACTGATTCGGTGAAAGATGATTTCTGTCACCGATTTAATGATCTCCTTCGTTACAGAGGAAGCACGGATACTGTGGTGTTGGCTGGTGATCTAAACGTCCAAGTCGGAATATTGTTCTCTGATGAGCTTCATCTGGGCAGCCAACATGGTGTAGGTTCCCGTAGTGATAACGATGAGCGGTTGCTACACCCGTGTGAAGATGCTCGTCTCTACTTCGCAAGCACTAACTTCCGACACAGCACCCAGAAAAGTCGACATAGCGCCAACTCGCCTCAAACCAGCCATGAACGCAAATAGATCACAGCGCGACCAGTTATCGTTGGAGAGGCTAAGTATAAAACTGTTGCTCGATTTGGAGCAACAGCGTGGACCCCGACCAAGAACTTGTATGTACCGACTTGCGGGTGCGTCTCGGCGCACATCCGCAATAGCGCTGTGATCGCTTAAATAATTGTCCACCGGCGAAGCTAGATATTCGGAATGCTTATCAGAGTACGCTGGTATCCGGGCTGAGTAAGCGCTCAGTGAATAGTTGAACACCACTAGACGCATATCCACCAGACGTTATTAGCAGCAGACATGTTTTCATATATCAAATGAAATTTCCGACCTGGACATTGGGTCCCTAAGCAGTCTCTAGAACTTCTAGGTGTTCGCTGACGCTGGAATCGAAAAGAATGAGACACATAAAAACATCAGGGAAAAACTACGTGCCAGCATGAAGAGAACCCGCGAAGCCTGGTGGTCTCATCGTACGTCGGAGATGTAGATGACCGCTGCTGTTCGTATGCATCAGCAGTTATACCTTCTCATACGCGAAACAGGTGGCAGCAGACCTAGTGTTAACGAGGCCATACAAGACAAGAGTGGATAGACGACTCAGTTTGTCAAAGCGCTTGGAACGTTAGGCCGAACAGTTTGGGAAGTAGCTTAATCAATCAGTTGTTATCTTCCTCATCGGCCATTGATCGCTCTTCTCCTTGGATCCCCCTCATTCGCAGAAGTCGAACATGAGATCAGACTGTTGAAATTGAAAAAGGTCGCGGGAGCAGATGGACTTCCTGCAGCGCTCTACAAATTCTGCGGACCTGCTCTTGTGGACGTGTTTCATAACTTATCAGCGAATCTGTGGAAGCAGGTGACTATCACAACAGACTGCAGCCACTCCGAAATAGTCCCAATTTTAAAGGGAGCTCCAAGCTCGGAATGCGGAAATCACAGAAGGATCGGTCTGATCTCAACTGCTTCTAAGTTAATTGACTTTGTCGTCCCCCAAAGAATGACTGGCACCCGTGAAAAGCAGCTGCGCAAGGAGCAAGCTGGGTTTCATCGAAATCGAAGCTGCAGTGACCACATCTTCCGATTACACCAACTGTTAGAACACCGCCATATTTGTTGACGACCCACCGTAGTCGTGCCCCTCGACCTCGAAGGCGCTTTCGACTCGGTGGATGGATGTGCCCTTTATGACCGTCTGTTAAGGAAAGGTATGCCCGTAAAAAGGTAAATGTAACAACAGCGCTGTACGCGCATGGATCAGGTAGAATGAAGGTTTATAGCAAACTGTCGCCGCCGTTTAATATCTCCATCTGTGTGATACAAGGTTGCTCGCTGTCACTTTTCCTCTATAACTTCGGCATTGACTAAGTCACGGAAACGACATGAAAGTCGTGGAGCTGCTTCATGGTGAGCGACTTTTTGACTTGGAGTATGTCGACGGTATTTCCCTAATCTGTGACAGCTCCCTAACGCGCCCAGCAGCCGTGGCTGTCAGTTGTTTCGGGCTGTTCTAGGTCCCCTCGAAAGGAAAGCCTTTCCTTCAAGATCGGCAAGGACATAATCCTGTACTGACCCTTTTTGGCGATCAGCCAGAAGTTGTCCAGAAGTTCAGGTATCTCGGCAGCTATATTAGGGCCCATGGAATTGAAAATGAGGTCAATAGTCGCGTAGCAAAAGGTCCAAGCGCTTTCGCCAATCTCAGCTACCCGTGGCGCCGGCGTGAGATCACTATCGCCCTAAAAGGCAGTGTACAATGTATCAGTGCATCCGACACTACTATACGAGTGCGAAACCTGGCTCATCAAGTCGACAAACCTAAAAAAGCTAGTTACGTTCGATCACCGCTGCCTTCACAACTTAGCTAATGTCTGGTGGCAACACTGCGTGAGCAATGAGCGTGTTTGGTGTGGCGTATTTGGTGCAGGAAGAGCGAGTGAACCGCTCAACACCGTTATATTACGTTTCAGGCTGGGCCACGTGTTGCGCATGCCTGCGCGCCGACTCACGCGACGTGCTTCAATTGTGCGACTAGGGTCTGGATGAAAGAGGAGGGGAGGCTAAGTGAAGAATTGGTCAAGAGATATGAGGACCTTCACTTCAGACGGCGTTAGTTGGTGTCTTCCAACTTGATGGCTGAGGTTCCAAGGAAGATGAGCGTGTTTGGTTGGATACACTAGTTGATATAGCAAATAGCCGCTCCCAATGACGTTTGTGCTGTGAGTCGCTTTGTCCATCTCCTCCCCTTTAGCTTCCCCACCAACAACGAGCTCACACATGATGCTCAACATGACACTAAACATTATATTACGTTCCCTTGGTTTGTGTTGTACTCTGTATTGATGACGATGGTGCTGATGATGATGAGAAACAACCATGGTGAAGCGACAGAACAGGTAAAGTAAATCCATTAGTGGCACATAACTCCTTCGCTTCAAATGTGAATAACAGGGGGGTGTACGTAGACATATGAAGCTGCCCTATCAACAAACGTATTGCTCTGTGCTCGTCCAATAAACAAGGGTTGGAGACTCCAGGTGACAAATTGAGGCATTTTCGAACAACTGTATACAGACTCAAACGTTAGAGACACGGTGAGTCAACGAGATACTAGAAGTGTGCTGGAAAACGAATGATGAACACGGCAAAGCCATGGGTCTGTTCGAAATAATAGTGGCTCTTATCTATTCTGAGTGCAAACTATGCAAATCAAATTAAGACATTTCAGATAGAATAAATAAGAAGTATCATTTACCGAAACAGTACAGTACACGTTGTAATCTCGTTGCATGTGTGCGACTGAGGTTGTCCCACTACTTCGGTGGAAGTCCTCAACGAATGCAGTTAAGAGGCCATGAAAGGTAGACTTTGCGGGATACTAGTTGTTTTCATGTGGGTCACCAGTCGGAATACTCGATCAATGTTTACTAATAGACACATCAAACTGCTATACCGTCGCGGAGACTATAACGCGAATCGATGAAGCATGTGGATTTTTAAAAGCCTAGCATCTATGAAATGATATTGCTCTGTCATTAGTCGGGAGCAGCGTTCTTACGGTTGTAGTGCGGCCGCTGTTACGGTGAACGGACCAGGGGCGTGACCAATGCAGGTCGATGTCAACAGAATAGTTGGTCTTGTCCATCGGTGCCTGGGTGCAACACTACTCCCACCTGATGTGAGCACCCAGTTTTTAAGAAGAGACTCTCTGGTACCGCATTGGAATCACTGCAGAATTCGATTTGTCTACATTGGCCAATCGTTCTCACGGGTGCCCCATCGTGTCAAGCCCCAAGATAGGCAATGGATGATGTCACAAAAAGTCGAAGACTGGATCGGGCGTATGCATATCGGCCTTGTGATCTGTAGTCTAGAGAGCATTCTTCATTGCAGGTGGAGAGTCCAGCTGGCATGATGTAACCGAGAGTTCGGAGATGCCCCTTCCTCCAACCGTTAGGTCGTAAGTCGCAACCTTACAACACAACGAGTTGCAAGTTTGCCTTCGAATCTGTTTGGGAATATTGTAAACTACTGTTATCTTGCCAGACCAAGTTTAGTGATGAGTACCATTGTGGCAATAAACGGGACAACGTTGAGGCCGGTACGTGCTAGAACTGTTGTAAGATTTTATCAGAGTAGCGATCTTGAGGCTTCCCAAAACCAGGGGCGATCGCACAGATGGATACGCAGCGAAGCACGTGACGAAAAGCACATAAAACTCAAGACCTGGAGAATACATAAAGCACAATTGCAGTGGACAGTTCCTTACCGGTAACCAAACTGTGGTAAAACGAAATAACCTCGGATGCAGCCCCAAAGAGTTGTCGCGGTCAGTAAACACGGATACAAGCCCATTGGAAAACTGCTTGGAAGCAGTGACCTCAAAGAAAGCAAATCACGCACCGATTCGATCGGTGTGTGAAGATCAAGCAGGAGATCCCACGTGGCGGTATCATTAACCGAGGTTCCGACTAATGAGAATCAAAAAACGGATCCCAGAATGAACACACGGCCAGATGGTGCTAGCGAAAATGAAATGGAAAAACGCACCATAACCAGCTTTGTTCTGCTTAGAAATGAACAGTTTGTGAGCTATCATATAGAATGCCATCGGTGGCGAGTGTTCTTAATGTTCGTTGATGGTTAGTTTGGGAAAATGTGGTAAATGGATAAAGCACCGTTGACAGACAGCGTGGCCAAGTGCCGCATGTCATTATGTGACATTCGAGCAGGTTTTATCCAAAGTCTGACCAACCTAAAGCTGAGCGCCAAGCTGGATAAACAAAGTAGAACAAAGGAATGGAAAAGCGTAATACCTGGTCGAATCCTGAATATGGCTTGTGCGTCACGTTCAAAAGGCAGGCTAGCTGTGACAGAAGGACGGGACGGTTTCTCCAAGTACTCTCTAACAAGGCCCAAGTCTTGGTGACAGGAAAACGGACTATTCTGCTGCGTCTGAATGGCTTGCGACGTCCTTTGGGGGGTGCAGAGGCCGTAGCGGATAACGGCGACACAGTAGCAGTAGTACTCGTAGGGCAATTGCCACCCTTTGTCCCATCGCTTGTGGGTCGCCGATTTTCTGAATAACAGCTGTCTGCCAAGTTTCTCAACCGTCTCCAAAATCGTTTTCCCCGAGGGATCAAGTCTTGTAATATGCGTTGTGCACGGTTAACGCGAGTCAAATCGAAATACGTCGACAACAGGCCTAGTTGCTGTGCCTGATCTGCCGTCAGCAAGCAAATAAAATCGCCCCACAAAGAAGGCTTAGTTTTTAATTTATCCAAGATTGAAACGAGGCCGGTTAAGATGTGCTTCTTGCATTGGGATAGCGTGAGCCCCGAACCGTTGGAGCTGTGCACTAAGTGATTCAGTCTTCTAAGAGTGAAAACAATAGCTCCATATTCACCGGGGGAAAGATACGCACGACATCGATCAAGAATGGATCTCGCTCGATGGACGTCATGTTCATCCGCAACCGACTGCCGCTGTGGGACAGCAGAAGAGGCGAGGGTAAACAAATCGGCGGAAGTGGCTTCACCACGAGCTTTGCAACGGTTCAAGAAGCGACCAGCTGTGAGAAGACACGATGTGGGGAAAACGGAAATTTGCTGTGGCTGCTGTTGGGTGATCCACCGCTCAATCGGAGCAGTTAGGTAATCACTCCGCGCTGGATGGGGAGGAGGAGGGTCATTCGCGTGGAACAGAGATGCCTTGGCAAGTGGAGGGAATCGCGCGGGTCCCAAAACGGAGGTTCCATGTACGTTCAACAATTTGTCCATACCAAAATGAAATTGTTTTATCAATGAGTCCACATATTCTTGACAACGGAGCAGGCCAAGATCACCGAGTGATTTAGGGCTACGCTGTTCCTGACGAGCCGTCGACAAAATACAGCTTGAACGAGTGACCACTTTGGGTACCGAAGTGATGGGAGTGAGCCCGGTCTTCGCCACCGAGGTGACTGCAGCGGTCCCAGTGTCCTGTAGAGCCTTGGTAGGTTGTGTGATAATGATAGAAGAAAGAGGACGCCTATTCCGACGTCTTCTGCCCGACTTATAACGCTTGTAAGCCAAGCGTTTAGCGACTGCGATAGAAGGCTTGTGCAGTGGTGGTAAGGGCAATTTGCCCGTCAGACGAGGAGCGTTGGACAATTGCGCAATCGTTTTGATGGTCAATCCAGTAGTCAAGCGTCGGGTAGCTGGTCGGGTTGGATCTAAGCCTTGAGAGCGAATGCGAGAGAGGAGAGTCTCAATATGATCTGTGATACTCGGCTTTGTTTCGTCAAGTGGGTTGACGCATTTGACATACTTTGATACGTTGGTTATCGTCCTGGGGGTGCGAGTAGCGTCAGATGTTCCCTCATCCATGTGAAGCTCGATCAGCGTGGGCTCCCTTCTGGTGTTCAGAATCACATTACTGTAAATAACGAAACGATTGGTGTGGATTACTTCAATGGCTAGGAAATTCCCGAAGAGAAAATAAGAGAGACTACATATGCACAAAACTAAACCCAAGTGGGTCCTTGTGTACAGACGAACAATCAATGCGTAGTCAACCCGTAAACAATGATTCCATTTGATCGATTGACATGATAGTCTTCATCTCACAAAAGCAATTGGCTTCGTAAACTTTGCAGGACAACCAAAATAGCCATACAGGAGTGGCAACGTAGAATATTAACTGGTTAAATATGTGTGGAATGAATGTCAGACAAGGAAGGAAATACGCAGTGACTCGGTTCTGCCACGTAAGAGTAGAGGATAAAATGAGTCCGCTAGGCAGAAAGTTAAAAGTGCTGATATAAACCTCAAAGTGTTTGATGTATGCTAAATGGTGTCGGCAGAAATTCATCATATATAGACTCAGTAAGATAGTCACCACACACCCAAAAAAGCACTGTACAGCCGTTTCATCCTTTCGGGAATCGTCAACAGCGCGCATTCCATTTGAAATTTGCAGGGCACAAACCCGCAACTCGACTCTTACCAGTCTGTGGTTGAGACCACTGAGCTACACGGGGGACGGCAACGACCGTGGTGGCTAAGTTACTAGATGTGATGTAGCGCCGCTCACCATCCACTGATGTGATGAATCGCCATGTATGTCATTCAGATCCACAACCACCACTCCGTTGTATTTCAAATGCAAAAGATTGACATGGAATTGCAAACGTGCTGAGGAGACTCGCTCGTCTCAGATATGAAAGGGTGCATAGAATAGACTGGTGCACAGGTAATAACCCCCGCGTAACGAGAGCTCTTACTCATTACACACGCGTGATTACGATCAAATCCAGTGGCTTCATAAAAACAGTGTTGCTGGGCTAGTTCACTGACACAAAAGGCCTATGTGCGTATCATGTGATTTACGAGATCTGACAAGTGCCGATGCTACCTAGTTTCAAAGAGCTTCTCCCCGTCATAATTTATTGTAGTTAGATGATAAATTCACAATACTAGGTTGCTTTGCAAAGAGTATAATGTGCTTACCCATCTGGAGTAAATTCGACTGGCAACGCCGGAAGAAAGGTTGGGCCTCCAAGCATGGAGGGCGCCATATGATTTGCATCGACTTCCTCTGGCTTCAAAATGGGCTGTTCCGATGTTCTGTGCTGCAGAGGGACGGGTTCGGATTTGAAAGCATTTTGATTGGATGATGGCGTAACTGTGGAATTGGACCACCATAGACATTCTGCATGTTGCACAAAATCTGTGAGTATGTCGTGAATGCGTTTTGACAATTCACCTCGGTAGCATCGCTCGGTGATCACGTTCAGCAACACAGTCTCATATCCTGCCTGAATAGGAAGACAATCAGGTCCGAACAATTCTTTCGGAGTCATTGAGGACAGGCAACCATATCGAAAGGGGATATGGTGTGGTATTGAGGAAGTTGCTACTTCGTCCGCCAGGGAGTGCAAAAATTCCCGATCTAGAGGCGTACAGTTGGAATATAGTTGGAGAAGACGTCGCGTTGGAATCGGAGTCAGACCCAGTGAATGTTTGCGTCTCATGGCCGCACGACCGGATATAAGGTTCCATCGACGTGTGCGCAACTGTAACAAATTTCGATGCGGAAGCAAATGCTTTCGAACTAAACGATAGGTCAAGTAACGTCCATGGGTAGACTGTTGTTCCCCGTCACCTCGTGTTTCTGTAGAAGGTTGGGTTGAGGTATTACAAAAGTCGGCCAAACCTAATAAAATTAAAGCGTCCTCGGAGGAGTGAAACGCCACACGACGCCGGCTTTGGAAATGATCTGAGGGTTCGTGCAAGGCAGGCAGGCTTGCTGGCATGAGATACGGGTAAGACCAAATGGGGTTATTCAACATCAGGTGGATAAGACACAATGGTAGGGGTAGATTCCCCAAACCCGATCGCTTCTGGTTTCCTAGCAATGAAGTGCTTGAATCCGGAACAGCCGAACTCGCGTCAGACCGACGTGTGGACTTCGGTATACGAGGTAGTATGGAAAGACCAGCGTACTCAGTGATAAGCTGAACAGCGTCGTCAAGACATGAGCAAGACCAGTAGCAGCTACGAATAGAGGCGTGAGACGTGTCAAGGCCAATGCGCTGCTGAGCCATCAAATCGAAAGCATCGCGCCTGGAGGCCAACTCTTTCAAAGCGCAAGCGCATGGACGAGTGACGGTTGAATGCAAGTGTGGGAAATCGTAGGAACAAAGAAAGTTCGTGGTCAGCAATTGTACGTGCATGCCGATTTGACGTTGTAATTGCAAGGATTCATCTGCGGTCAGGCTGTAACCAAAACAGTTAAATGGTTATGAGCGTAGAAACAGTATTCATGGGTTAAAGATGACAAGCATATAAGGTTGCGAATGCGCGTCAGTGAACACCGAGGGGGTAGTGGACTTCAGCAATCGAGAAGATGAATGTGTGTTAAATTAAAAGGGGGTCAATCTGAATAACGACACCCGGTGGATCAGGCGACGTCCAACAGAACGCATGAGAGTGAATCAACCAGAGACGGTCATAGACTTAAAACTAGCAAGAAACCGAAAAAGGCGAAACGATAGACACAGCAATACATATGAAAAATAGGAAAAAAAGCAGATTGTGCCGCCGAAAAAAGCAAGTTAGAACGGAATAGAGTGGAGGAAAGTGATACGAGATGATGTCAGTTCACACCATCTGGCAACATGCAGACTAGTAACATTGATTAGGACAAATCGACAACTTGAAAGCATATAGGAAGGCGGCGCGCACAGGCAAACAGACACGTGAACTGGGGGATTCCGAAAATTGGAGACTAAACGGATGTCGATTTAAACCAATGGCAATGTTTTGCTCATGCAAAGGAAAGCAAGATTCGGTGCTAAATCAGCGTGCTGCATGCACACTGTAAATGTAACGCCGGTGCAACAGGTCAACTAGTTGTACTGATGAACCAAGGGGCTACTAACAGAAGTGGGTATCGTCACAGTGGAGGACAAATCGAGTATCGCAGCAATTTTGGTCAGACATTGGGGAACACGGATTCATTCGTTGTAAGTGCGGCATCCATACCTGACTGGATGAACAATATTAAATTCACAGAGAACAAAGGCATGGAACGTCTCGTAAGACTCTTTGATTACTTGGCAGAGCGGGTTCTTCCTTCATGGGAAAAATGCAGACACTGGCTTGCCCTACTAGTCGCGATATGCACACACACATAAGTTATTCCCCAGAGTGTTTCATTAATGTGACCAAGGTATGCGGCTACTCGAAACGTGAATATATAACAGCCGTTGGAATTGCAATTTACAGTTTAAACCAAAAGCCATCTAAAGTGCTTGCCAAAATGGCCCTCGGAATAAAGCTATGCCTAGAAAACACTAACTACCATTTATTTAAAAAGCGTAGTACGGATAGAAGATCAGTGATTGGACTAGAAATACAACGATGTGGCAATAAGGTCAGCCAGAAGATTATGTCAAGTATACGGAACTAAGGCAGCCAGCTCAGTTCGAAACCCACGGGCTGATGATTCGTAGACAAAAGAGAATTCAAAACTACGGTCTGTGTGTGTGCACATAATCGGCAGCTAGATGGACATACTACCAACCAGGTGGTAACGGATTATAACGCTATATCTCCCGTTCTCCAAAACGAGAAAGATGGAGAGAATACGTTCCAAGGAGGGACTTTGCACATTATATGCATGGTACACAGTAACCGACTTTCAGAAATGGAAACCCTCAGCGGAGACGCAGTCGGCACAGTACAGCAGTCCAAACCGTTAAGCGGAACGCTTTGGAAACACAACGCGCATCATCATCGTCGATAACAATAAATAGGCAATTAGAAAGAGGGGTCTTCCTCTAGACAAGCAAATACCACTGCATCAACTGAGGTGACTAGGTCACGTCCTACGCATTCCCTGCAAGCATTTACTACGGTACGCTCAATTCGCTCACGCAGGACCGCACTTGAAGAAATTGTGTGGTGGTCAACCTACCACCTGGGAAGAAAACATCGAGATCACTGACTTCCGGTCTAGCTGTCGTCGGCCATATATGTTTTTCGGGCTAAGGAGTCGAAGATGAAGAGTACCGCTAGTTGGAGCCTTGAGGCCATGGCGGGGACAATGGAAGATTTGTATGAATTTATACATTTATTAAACTTAACAAAATCGTAATCGCTAAACTGACAAAAAAGGAAAACGGCGTGTGAAAAAAGCACAGAAAACGTTTCTTTGACTGTTGCCCACTTTGTGATTTTTTGTACTTTTAATTCATATTAATTCCATAGTTTTCGATGGTCCTATGTCTATTGTGCAGACTGTTGCTTATATATATATATATATATATATATATATATATATATATATATATATATATATATATAATTAGTTAGCGGCATTTAGTTCGCATTGGCCTGCCACAGTGGTCTTCACAGGATAGCTACAGGATGTCTGTGCTTACAGAGGGACCATGGGTGGCTGTGCTGCACCACCCACAGTTCCATCCAATCACCACACATCCAGTGTCCCCACTACACGAGGTGCGTAACAATACGGTCGTAAAACACAAGTGCAATGTTCTACATATTCGAAGGCTGTGTGTAAGAGGCCTCAAGCAGATCCCAATGTGTCTCTGTAATCATACTCCCGAGCTTAACTTGCTCCCCACCGTCTTGTGGGTCAGGCTACTGAGGTAAAGGCTCCGGGTGGAGTATCTATAGTGAACCTCTATACCCCTACTGCCTTGTGGGTTAAGGTATTGAGCCAAAGGTTCCGGGTGGAGTCCCTCAAGCGAATCTCCATGTGCCCCACTGCCATGTGGGTCGGACTGTTGAGTCAAAGGCTAAAGTTAGGACACCTCGAACAAAATCTCTCTAGGAATGGGCAGCCGCAGAGTATCATCTTCCTTCTCGACCCCGCCGACAATGCTCCCTCTTCTTCCTCTAAGTTTGCTCCCTTCATAATTGTCGAATTCCCTGTCTCTTGAGCAAGTGACTTCCTGCCGACCTCGCAGCTGCTGTCATCGATACACGTAGTTATTTCATCAAACCTAGTTTCATTTCACATTGGTTCTTTTAACGTTCGCGCTTTGGGTCAGAACGGCCAGCAGGTAGCACTAACTCTCACTATTCACTCTCTTGGTATCGAGGTGTGCTGTGTCCCTGAAACACGCATACAAGATAACAGAGTCATGGTCAATCATCGACACCCTGACTCCGAATCTGCCCATAATTATCACCCTCTTCGCGTCTCTGGTTGTATCGAGTCAATGGCTCAAGGTATTTATGTTGTTGTCCTCAGTAAAATGAAGGCAATCTACTATAATTGATATCGGTTAACAGCCGCAGGTGTGCTGTTCGACTTCGTACCTCTATCGTCTGTAGCACATACTCTTCATCCGTTTATATCCCTTTGAATACAATTCAAAGGGTATCAAAGACGATTTCCATCACCATCTGTCATCTCTTTTTTGCATGGCGAAAAATACTGACATCACGATTGTTGAGCATGACATGAATGTCCAAGTGGGTCGTTATTCAGACAATGAGCAACACCTGAGAGGCCGCTTCGGAGTGGTTGCACGTCGAACAGACAATGGTGATCGAATCCTGCAACTGTGCACCGACCACAATCACCATCTAAACAGCATTGCTTTCCAGCACAAACGTTCACATCGCATCAAACGGCGCCCACTGAATTCCTTAACGAACAGTGTTAGATCTTCAGGTTTTCACGCTACTCCGAATTAAACACCAAAAAATTTCTCCTCAAAAATTTTAGCCCAGCCGAAGAAAAATCAAAAGTCCAACGACATTGACCACAAAAAACGTGTCAACAAAAACGCTGCCAAACGTGGCCAGAAACGCCGCCAAAACGCTGTATAATTACCCCAGACCTACGCTAAATATATAGGGGGTTCAACGACTTTCGCCTTCTAAAAAAAGAAGGTCAACTAGTAAAATTAGCAACCTCACTTCCAAAACTCCGTATGCTAGCGATCGTACGAAGGAATGGAAGGTTCCGGAATCTTCGAAATCAATGCACGATCGAAGACAATCGATCAATTGCTAAAATAATAGGTTTCCCTTCGTGTGTTTACTTTTTCCCGGATACCTCCTTGCTGAAACGACTGTCGCGGTGTATGATGATAGCCTGGGATTGACCTGAAGCCTCCTGGAAGGGGTTCTACGCCTATCGGTCCATCGCCTTGGCTGTGGTGTTCTGGATCCGAATTCCATGCTTTGCGGTCTGGTATCATTCGTCTGATGACAGGGTTCTTCTACAGGCTCTTTAGGCAAGTTGAAACTGTCTGTCAACAAATCAAATGGAAGCTCGGCGGATTCTGTTGCTTGTGGCTGACACATGGTTGTTCGCAGTTGGTTTGCATAGCGTACCCATACTTGCGTTCCAACCAGCACGTTGTAAATGACGTGCCCTCGCTTGCCCTGGATCGTGCCTGGCGTCTAGTTTGCGTGTCCATCCCGGTAATTACGTACAAGTACTGGCTGACCTGGTTTAAACGAACGTCACTTAGCACCATACCGCCGACTAAAGTCACGTTCCATCTTGAGGTTCCTATCACCAGCTGTGGACTCTGAGGACGTCCGAACTGCATCAAATGGCATGCGAAGCTTTCTCTTCATCGTTGTCTCTGCTGGTGATATTCCACCCGGTGTTTGCGGATTTTGTGTAGATCGGTACAGAAAGAGGAAGCGGTCGATCACCTCCTCTGTCTCCCTCCCTCCTTGAGTTGAGGAGAGCGTGTATGAATGTATCCACAAACCTCCCCACATGGCCATTCGATTGTGAGTGGAATGGTGGAGACCGCACTTGTTTGATGGCGCAGCGTTGGCAGAATTCCGTGAATGTGGCCGAAGTAAACTGTGCTCCATTGTCCGTCACTAATGTCTCAGGGCAGCCGAACCTGTTGAAGATTTGTCGCAACCTCGAGACCGTTGCGCTGGTTTTCGTGCTTCTCATGAGGAACACTTCGGGCCACTTGCTATAAGCGTCGACCACTATGAGAAAGTTCTGGCCATTGATTGGGCCTGCAAAGTCGAGATGAACACGGCTCTAAGGTTTAGTTGGTTTAGGCCACGAGTGGAGTTCAGTCTTCGATGGTGCCCTTGGAGCGGTAGCGCAGTTGCCACAACCACTAGCTTGCTGTTCCAGCTGTCTGTTCATAAACGGCCAATACACATAACCGCCCAAGAAGTGGAAAGCAGCGGCTACTCATGCTTCCGCTGTGATAGACCATCAAATGATCGCGGTGGCGTTCTACCTTACATAAAGT